TTTATTATGATTTTGCAGATTTAAAGTTTAACTGAAGAGTAAAATGAAAGAAAATTTTAATTTCACTTTATGGTTAATTATAATAGCATGCATGTATGTATATGAAGTGAAATCATTTAGTCTTAAAAGTGAGCTTAGAGTAGATCATATCAAAGGACACAAATCACTACTAAAACGTGATAAGAAATAAATTAGATGAACAAAAGAGAATCTAACATGGTTTCTCAAGTTCAAGTCTCTTTGATAATAAAAGAGTAAGGAGAATCTAAAATGGTCTCCCGAAGTCCTCACAACTGTTAATAGGGGTGACTACTGAAGCTCTTCCCTGACTCGTAGTCCTAGAGTCCCGAAAGATTGACTTAGGTGCGTGCAACTTGACCTGAACAACCCCGATCATTAAAAAAAAAAAAAAAAAAAAAGATTAGTAATTTAACATTGAAATCATATATTAGAAGAAAAAAAAAATTGGGAATTGGGTAATAAAGTTTTAAAAGAATTATATAAAATAAGTATTTGTCAAGTTCCCCATTAGCTCGGTTTAATTCATGGTAGCAGAGAAACAAAAAATTGCATTCAATTTGTATAAAAACTTTGTAAGTAGGTGATTAAGTGACATAATATAATAGTATTATTGTTATTGCCCTATTAATCTGTATATTAAAATATAAGATATATGCAAGTATTTTATAGATGTGGTATAATTTAATAGACTATACATAATGTAATGTTAATTTCAATTCAGAATCTTGTGATTTTTCTTTAAACAAAATACAAAGTATTGGTAGTTAATAAATAATCAACTACATTTATAGGTATTCCTTGTTTTTTTTAAAACAAATAAGCTATTTAAATTCCATAATAAACAAGATAAATTATAAAATCTCTAAATACTCATAAGAGTGATCACCATAAGAATTATGACCTATACTGATGCTCATTCTATCGATGAACACAAAAGTCGTTGGTAGAAGAAGTCTACAACAATGTATTATAGCATCGTAAGACTCTTCACATTTTTCCGATGTCTCCATTAATTAATTTAGATAAAAAGAGAACCATAATTCATTAGGTTGAGTATTAGAGAACTAATTTAGTTAAGAGTGTATTAAAAGTGAATATCGGAAATTAATTTACCTTTGATTGCATGGAAATTCAAGTACTCATGGATTACATCAAATACTAATTTATATTTAATTAATTAATTAATCAATACTCTTACTCTCTCTCTCTCTCTCTCTCTCTCTTTCGCCCACAGTAAAGCAACAAACTAAGAGCAAATTGCACGTCAAGAGTCTAATTAGAAGAATCGCTTTCCAAGTTTATATAATAAATTAATTAGTTAATAACTAATACAGAATCTAGCACTATATCCTCTTTCAACTCTTCTCCACGCCTCCCATAATCACATCTTCTTCTTCTTCTTCTTACTCTGATTTCTTTGAATTTTATATTTATTTAGGTTTCATTATGCTTTGTCTTGTTTCTGTTAATGGTTATAATAGTTTCTTTTGTTTTCTTCTATTTATTTAGAAAACTGTTTTCCAAATGAAATGATGATGAAGAGCAATCCAAATTAATTAAGAATATTAATTAATTAAAAATGTAATTAACTTTTGCTAATCAATTTGAAATAGAAATGTGGCCAATGAGAAAGGGGTCATTTTCTCGTACAACATTGGACATTGAGTAGTCTAGAGTTGTAGATTAATTAAAAAATTTATAAAAGAGGAAAGTCGGTAGATCGCATCAGATTGTGATGATTTAATCAGATTAGGTTCATCATATTTTTGGATAATGAAATGGGACCTGTCAAACGAAGTTGTTGCTTAGCATACAAACTTTTTTAAAATAAATAAATAAATAAATTTAATAGCAGTAATTAATGTATCATTTAATTGCTTGTATTATTCATTCTTAGGTAGAGACACACTAGAATCTTGTAACATACAGATTAAGAACTTCTCTCATGAATTTTTTTTTGAATCTACATCGTTGTTCAATAAAATTTAAAATAGTTATTAATTAACCAATGATGAGGCATTAACTCTTAATCCACCTGTTAAAAAATTCAAGAAGTTTACTCCGGAATATTTTCAGTATTTATGATAGTTATATATTAGATAGCATTGACCAATTACTCCTATTCTATATGTTAAAATGTCAAAAAATTCATACTTGAAATTTTTTGATATTGTATAATTATTCGATAAAATAAAATAGTTATATATGCATATATAATTTTTTTTTTTCTTTACTAAATGAATATACGTATATAAAGCTTATGGAGAATACGATATATTTGTCCTGTCGGAAATATATATAGTTACTAGGAACTAAAATAATGTCTTATATATACTAATCAATAATAATAGTGATAAAATATGTGGTTTCCTGATAAAATTGACCATAAGATAGAAAAATATATTATATATATAATTCGTCAAAGTTTGTGAGGTTTAACTTTAAATTTGGACCATGAATTATATGGTTGAATTATGGAGACCGACCAACCAAGGAGGTTTCGATACGTTGAAATTCTCAGAAAGAATCATAGTAAATATTGATAGTGATGGGGGATGAATGTATGGATTCTGAGTTGGAGATTAATATTGCTGATGATTGACAGTTGATAATAATGTAAACTAGATAACTACGTTCTTCAGTGGAACCGAAAAGAAAGACGCAGTCAATCAAGTGGACTCTCCTAAGGTAATTAAAGTTAACAAACGACAAATTTCAATGCACAGGAACTGCTTAGGCGTTGAAGATTTCAATTAATGGAGATTCTAATTTTAAGAGAGCCAAAGTCAACACCTCTGCATTTTTGTAGCTCCACCACCCAACTAGTGTAAAATTTTCAAAAGTATTCAGCAGTGAATTAGAAAATCATAACTTTTTTTTTTTTAATCATCGGACTGTTCATACTAGTTTATACACACCTTAAGTTTAACTGGATAATCCTCCAGTTGTTACCTCAATTAAGGTTTAAAGATATTCAAACTCAGAAGCTTGAAAAAGTTCTTTTTGTTCTTTTACCATTAAATTATCTAGTGATGGTTAGAGAATCATGACTTGCTATAATATTACAACTCAACCTATTATCATCTTATCTTAAAGCATGCAAATTAAGCTTGCCGAAGTAATTTATAAACCCTAACTGTTTCAATAAGATTAAAAGGAAAAAAAAAAAAAAGACACTACAAGAAATACAGCCTTCCCCAACGAGACAAACTCGTCGGAATAAACCCAAATCGTGTCAATAGATGTATTTGACGCATAAATTAGCGGTACCTCGGATTAATTTTTTTCGACAATATTGGCTGTGGAGTTCCTCCTGTGGCAGCGGAATTGATTGCATATTTTTCTTGTAGTGTGAGAACAGTAATATTGTGTATTTAATTACTATACATTGCGTGAATTGCACTAGCTAATTAGCTGTAAATTAAAATGTACAGAAGAAGTAATTAAGATGATGCTTTGTGATGTAGTCTGAAGATGAGTGGAGACTGAAGTACGTCATATTAATCCATATGGTTATGAAGCAGAAAAGTTTGATTAATTAGAGTTAATTAACAAATTGAGTTTAAGCAAATGGTGTGTACAAAGTTAGGTCCCCATGCATATAAAACAAGAGTGACTTTTGCCTACCACAACAAAGACCAAAATGCATAGAACACCCCTTTAATTTGTCATTTTGTTAATATTTATTAGCTATATGAACACAAATATCTAAGCTAATGTCATCAGAATTTTATATGGTCTATGATTATTTATTCATTATCAATCAAATTCATTCCTTCAGTGTTTCCAAACCTCTCAAATGGAGCCACAGACGAAATTATAACCCTAGTATACTATCAGATCTTAACACTGCATGGTTGTAGCTATGTTTTTCGATGCTAGTTTCATCAAAGAAAAGTTTAAAGGACTACGGTGTCTCATTGTGTCAATAGAAATACACAATAGAAATATCTCATTGTATCAATAGAAATATTATATACCGATGCTCTTTCAGGTGTCAAAGAAAACTTCGTCCATCACAGAACAATTTTCTTGTGGTACTAATAGGTTTATCGCAAACTAGATTCCCAAACTTCTAGTGAAGAATCATATTATTATTATTGTATATGTGAAATGGCTCTCATTTTTTATTAACCCACTGATTATCTAATTAATTATATTCTTAATCGTAATGAGCCAGAATAAATTATTTATTTGATGATGCCTGTCATTAACACCAGGATAAGCTTTACAATAAAAAAAAGGGGCCAACGTGTCTGTAACTTTTCTGAATCGCCAAATCGGTGTTAAACAAACCAATGAAATTTTTAATTCTACAATTAATTGCTAAGAAATATACCCTTGGGATTCGAGGTTCCAAACTTAAATATAACCCAGAATTCTATAGCTTTTTTGCTTTTAATTTTTTTAACAAATCCACACAAAACAATAACCTATTACTAGCTAATTACAAAGCAACAGTTGTTATTGATTACCTCTAATTAACAATTAAAAGCTACTAATTAACACTAACTCTTAAGTGTTAGCTTAAGCGGGACTCATCTGGGAAACTATTTTTCTAAGAACACAAATGATTAGCTTGAGGATATAGACAGGTTGTGAATCTGACATGGAACCCCACGTGTCAAAAAATGAGGGGTGCCAAGTGGCGAAGGGCGGCGCACCAAACAGACAAGAGAAGCTGGATTGTGGGAAGAGATAGAATGTGTGGATGGATGTTGATTAATTGATTTGTAATTTTGTTAATTAAGATGAGAGTAGAAGTGAAATAGAAAAGAAATTTAAAGCTTAGGGCACAAAATAGCGGTGGGAAGTGGCGTGAAAATTTGGTGTCACACGCCGTCCAAACAAACGCTTTCATCTATCTGCCACCCCACGCGCAATCAATGTCCCTCTCCATCCTCTCTTTAACATAACATCTACTTGGTGTACTTGTATATATATTTATTCCTTTCCTTCTTTCTCTTCATCACTTTCATCTTCATCTCCATCTCCATCTCCATCTCCAAACATTCTTCCAAAAGCTTCATCGCTTTTGATCTCATTCCTTTCCTTTCTCTTTCTTTCACGCAAAAGAACACAAGCTAAGGTGAGTATATATGTATATATATCTTCATTGTCATGCACTTTCGGCATCAAATTTAGCCATCCATCTGCGAATATTGTATGTAAATGATCCGCATGGAGTCTTTCTAAGCTGAAATGAGGGTTTGTGATATTTGCATAAACAATACTGGAAAAATGTATTTTCCAGATTAGCTTTCTTCCGACGCAAAGACAAGCGTCCGAATATATAAACCACCTCTCCTACTAATGCAATACAATATTGAGAGAGGTGTTTTTATCTTTCTCGGCGAAAACAGTGGTCGAAACATTTTTTTTTAAGACAACTCCGACCGAACCCATTGTTCATTATGAAACTAATAACCCATTATTTCTCATTTTTTGTTTTGTAGCTTGAAACTTTGGCATGCATTTAATAGTTTTAGATCATATTGAAACCCAGCCATGCATGTACAGGAGCAAGATATGTAGAGGATTATTAAAGGAGCATTAATATAATTAGCTTAGTTGAATAGTGAAGAGAAAAGTGATCGTGGCTTGCATAGTGAATAGTGTCAATATTTAGAGTGATTGAGGCTGCCGAAATAGCTAGCATGTGGCGGGTGTAAAATTATAACTTTTTTCTACATCCACGAGCGCACAGAGTGCACTGCACTCAAAGAAACATAAGAACATGCTAGTGCCAGCAAAGTCAAGCTTTTCGGCCAACTTTTGTGTTCAATATACTTTACCTAATTTCATTTAACTACTTCTTCTTAGGAGATAAAATCTTTGTTCTTTGGTGGGTTCCACTATTGGTCTGCCATAAATTTTTTTTTTTTTTTTTTTTTTACTAAACCACACATGCATCACCAATCTGGATCCCACATTTATAATTCTATATTTCATCATTTTATCATACCATTTTTATCATTGACATAATAGAGCTTAGGTAGCTAGCTATAATGTCCGAGATTGCGAATGGTCGGACCTGTAGTTTGCGTCTAATCTAAATTTTCTAGGATTCTATTTAAAACTATCTAGACTATTTAAAAATATAAAAAAAATAGAAACATATGTATAAACCTTATTTTTTTACAAATGGAATTTCACTTCATCGAAGAGTCATGTGTCATATTTTAAACTAATAAGTTGTCTTAGATTTTGGGCAAACACTAAAAGAAAGAAACTTTAAGGCTATTTTTATGCATCGAGCCAACTAGATAACGAACAACACAAGCAATATGCATGGCTATAGCTAAAACCTTAAAAATGGTCTTCATGTTTCTCTCTCTTTCTCTCTCTCTCATTTATATATATATATATTGGTGTTTAATCTCTTATTGTCTCTCTCTCTCAGGAGAATTAAGCTCATCAATGGATCAATTGGAATCGTGTATGCCACCCGGCTTTAGATTTCACCCAACAGAAGAAGAACTCGTGGGCTACTACCTCAACCGAAAGATTAACTCCTTGAAAATTGATCTAGATGTTATCATCGACATTGACCTCTACAAAATAGAGCCATGGGACATTCAAGGTATCATTAATAATGCTGCCACTGTATATCAATATCTTCAAACTAAAGTTGGTATTATATCATTAATGCCAGTTGATTTCACACAGCTTTCTTGGTTTCAAACGTTTAGATAAAACGGAAAGGGACATCAGAAAAAGTACTTAAACTTTTCTTTGTCAACAGTGGAAGCACTTTCTTGTTTTTATTCCACATTGCACACATTTTTCTTTGTTGCAGGCTGCTAGAAGATTTTTACAAACAGAAAATATCGAGACACAATATTTAACGATATTATCGTCTTGATAGCAATCTTATTTCTATTCCTAACTCGTATTACCTTTTAAAACTAACTTTCACAACATCTAGCAAAACGAGTCACAGTATCCTAACAATTGCAACAAAAGATATGAAATTTTACCCGAATTGAAGTTCTCTTTATTTGTTTTTTGCAGCGAGATGCAATCTAGGCTATGATGAACAGAACGAGTGGTACTTCTTCAGTCACAAAGACAGGAAGTACCCGACCGGAACTCGGACGAATAGAGCCACTGCTGCCGGGTTTTGGAAGGCAACTGGAAGGGACAAGGCGGTGCTTTCCAAGAACAAAGTTATTGGAATGAGGAAGACGCTTGTGTTCTACAAGGGACGTGCACCAAATGGAAGGAAATCTGATTGGATCATGCATGAATATCGGCTTCAAACTTCTGAAAACGGACCTCCTCAGGCAAGTTCAATTCAATTTTCATTATCACAACTTTCATATAATTAGAGAAATTAATTAAGGAATACATAATAGAAGCACAAAAAGGGTATCAAATTTTTGGATGATAAAAATTAAAAAGTGATCTCAGTTGCAAAGATCATTTAAGCATGCACAGGTGTTTGACTGACTTTGCATGCGTTTGTAGAAGGACAAATTAATCTGATTAAAGCCACTGAAAAGTGATTAACTGTTCAGATGCATGCGTGGAAGTTAAACTAGTACTCTTTCTTCCAACAATTTTTTATCTTTTCAACATATTCCTTCATTTAACATATTTATCATATGCATAAAATATCCTCTTTTAAAAAATGAAAGCTTAGTGTAATTTCATCAAGTAATTCCTTGGTACAGATGCATAAACATATCAAGTAATTTTAATAAACAGTAAAAAACAACTTTTTACAATTTCCAAGACAAAAAATTATGTCTGAACACGAACATCTTCAAGAGAGACGAAGTCTATATAATATAAACTAATGTTTTGATGCATGCATGGTGATTGCAGGAGGAAGGATGGGTGGTGTGCAGGGCATTCAAAAAGCCAAGCCCTAATCAGAGGCAAGGTTATGAAGCTTGGAACCATGCTTACTATCTCAGACCTCCATCATCATCATCTAATTCTGATCATCTTATGCTTAATCATCACCATCATCATCCCAATCAATCCACAAGTTTTCCTCAACACCCTTTTGCTTCTCCTTCTGACCTAGATTATTTTCCCATTAATAATCAAACTTTCATGGAAAATCAACTCATGGAACTTCCTCAACTAGATAGCCCTACTCTTTCGACAAGTTTCGCTACGAAAGATCAAGGCCACCTGCAACATAACAGCAACAACATTCTAACCAGTGAAGACTGTGGTGAAGAAGAAAAGAGCAACAATGGTGGCGAATACAATATTGATTGGAAAATTTTGGACAATTTACTAGCTTCACAATTGGTTCCCTTCCCCAACAATTTGCCATCTTTCTCAAGTCAGAATAATAATTTTGAGCTTGAAGCTCAAACGAGTGTTAGTCATATTCTTGGATGTCTGCATGAGTTGTAACAATTTAAAGCCTTAATTTTGAGGTTAATTAATTTCAGTATAAATAATCAAGAGTAATTAGACTAAGATTTAAGTTTCCTTTTTTAGAAGTTGTTTAAGATATTGAATTCCAAAGATGTGTTGAAAGTTTATATATTAGGGAAATTGATTAATGAAGGTGAAAGTTTTAAATTCACCTCTTTAATTAATGACTTGTTCATGTAATTGTGTAACTGTAAATATGCATGCATATTTACTAATTAAATTTAAAACCTTTTTTTATTTATTTAATTTTATCCTTTTTAATATGAGTTTATTATTAACCTTGGAGATGAAATCGTTCAATTTTATATTTTGATTCTAAATAATTTCATTTTATTTGCAATACAAAATGTAATTGCATGTTTAAAAAAGAATTTCTAGGCCCATGAAAAGTCCTGATTGGGCTTTAAACAGGCCCAGAACGCTGTGTGGTCCTGTCACTTCATCGAAGAGTCATGTGTCATATTTTAAACTAATAAGTTGTCTTAGATTTTGGGCAAACACTAAAAGAAAGAAACTTTAAGGCTATTTTTATGCATCGAGCCAACTAGATAACGAACAACACAAGCAATATGCATGGCTATAGCTAAAACCTTAAAAATGGTCTTCATGTTTCTCTCTCTTTCTCTCTCTCTCATTTATATATATATATATTGGTGTTTAATCTCTTATTGTCTCTCTCTCTCAGGAGAATTAAGCTCATCAATGGATCAATTGGAATCGTGTATGCCACCCGGCTTTAGATTTCACCCAACAGAAGAAGAACTCGTGGGCTACTACCTCAACCGAAAGATTAACTCCTTGAAAATTGATCTAGATGTTATCATCGACATTGACCTCTACAAAATAGAGCCATGGGACATTCAAGGTATCATTAATAATGCTGCCACTGTATATCAATATCTTCAAACTAAAGTTGGTATTATATCATTAATGCCAGTTGATTTCACACAGCTTTCTTGGTTTCAAACGTTTAGATAAAACGGAAAGGGACATCAGAAAAAGTACTTAAACTTTTCTTTGTCAACAGTGGAAGCACTTTCTTGTTTTTATTCCACATTGCACACATTTTTCTTTGTTGCAGGCTGCTAGAAGATTTTTACAAACAGAAAATATCGAGACACAATATTTAACGATATTATCGTCTTGATAGCAATCTTATTTCTATTCCTAACTCGTATTACCTTTTAAAACTAACTTTCACAACATCTAGCAAAACGAGTCACAGTATCCTAACAATTGCAACAAAAGATATGAAATTTTACCCGAATTGAAGTTCTCTTTATTTGTTTTTTGCAGCGAGATGCAATCTAGGCTATGATGAACAGAACGAGTGGTACTTCTTCAGTCACAAAGACAGGAAGTACCCGACCGGAACTCGGACGAATAGAGCCACTGCTGCCGGGTTTTGGAAGGCAACTGGAAGGGACAAGGCGGTGCTTTCCAAGAACAAAGTTATTGGAATGAGGAAGACGCTTGTGTTCTACAAGGGACGTGCACCAAATGGAAGGAAATCTGATTGGATCATGCATGAATATCGGCTTCAAACTTCTGAAAACGGACCTCCTCAGGCAAGTTCAATTCAATTTTCATTATCATAACTTTCATATAATTAGAGAAATTAATTAAGGAATACGTAATAGAAGCACAAAAAGGGTATCACATTTTTGGATGATAAAAATTAAAAAGTGATCTCAGTTGCAAAGATCATTTAAGCATGCACTGGTATTTGACTGACTTTGCATGCGTTTGTAGAAGGACAAATTAATCTGATTAAAGCCACTGAAAAGTGATTAACTGTTCAGATGCATGCGTGGAAGTTAAACTAGTACTCTTTCTTCCAACAATTTTTTATCTTTTCAACATATTCCTTCATTTAACATATTTATCATATGCATAAAATATCCTCTTTTAAAAAATGAAAGCTTAGTGTAATTTCATCAAGTAATTCCTTGGTACAGATGCATAAACATATCAAGTAATTTTAATAAACAGTAAAAAACAACTTTTTACAATTTCCAAGACAAAAAATTATGTCTGAACACGAACATCTTCAAGAGAGACGAAGTCTATATAATATAAACTAATGTTTTGATGCATGCATGGTGATTGCAGGAGGAAGGATGGGTGGTGTGCAGGGCATTCAAAAAGCCAAGCCCTAATCAGAGGCAAGGCTATGAAGCTTGGAACCATGCTTACTATCTCAGACCTCCATCATCATCATCTAATTCTGATCATCTTATGCTTAATCATCACCATCATCATCCCAATCAACCCACAAGTTTTCCTCAACACCCTTTTGCTTCTCCTTCTGACCTAGATTATTTTCCCATTAATAATCAAACTTTTATGGAAAATCAACTCATGGAACTTCCTCAACTAGATAGCCCTACTCTTTCGACAAGTTTCGCTACGAAAGATCAAGGCCACCTGCAACATAACAGCAACAACATTCTAACCAGTGAAGACTGTGGTGAAGAAGAAAAGAGCAACAATGGTGGCGAATACAATATTGATTGGAAAATTTTGGACAATTTACTAGCTTCACAATTGGTTCCCTTCCCCAACAATTTGCCATCTTTCTCAAGTCAGAATAATAATTTTGAGCTTGAAGCTCAAACGAGTGTTAGTCATATTCTTGGATGTCTGCATGAGTTGTAACAATTTAAAGCCTTAATTTTGAGGTTAATTAATTTCAGTATAAATAATCAAGAGTAATTAGACTAAGATTTAAGTTTCCTTTTTTAGAAGTTGTTTAAGATATTGAATTCCAAAGATGTGTTGAAAGTTTATATATTAGGGAAATTGATTAATGAAGGTGAAAGTTTTAAATTCACCTCTTTAATTAATGACTTGTTCATGTAATTGTGTAACTGTAAATATGCATGCATATTTACTAATTAAATTTAAATCCTTTTTTTATTTATTTAATTTTGTCCTTTTTAATATGAGTTTATTATTAACCTTGGAGATGAAATCGTTCAATTTTTTATTTTGATTCTAAATAATTTCATTTTATTTGCAATACAAAATGTAATTGCATGTTTAAAAAAGAATTTCTAGGCCCATGAAAAGTCCTGATTGGGCTTTAAACAGGCCCAGAACGCTGAAACTATTAGTTTGTTTAATCCATTTATCTCTACTATTGGCCATTGCTTTGTTGTGTAATACACGATTTCATCTAGAGTAATTAATGAGAAATTATTGTATATCTTATATGTATAATATTACTTAATAATTTTAAAATGATTATGATTCTTCATAAGTTTAAAATTGACTGATTGGAAAAATTAACTATTCAAAAATTTTGGACAAATTATCTACGTTGGTTAGTCCAATTGACTATAAATACTATAAATTGTATTAACTTTTATATTATAAATTTTATTATAAAGTTTATATGTTTACCTTTGTGCTTATATTTCCAATATATATATATATATATTTTTTTTTTGGATGATTGGGGGATGTTCGGGTCAACTTACGTACACCTCAATTAATCCCTTGAAACCTTGGAACTATCAACCAGGTAAGACTCTAGTAGCTACCCTTATTATCAACCAAGAAAAGACTCTAACTCACGACCTCTTGAGTAATATACCCAAGAGTCCTTATCGAACTACTCGGTCACTCAAAAGTAGTTTATATTTCTTTTCACTATTTCAGTCAATTGCATAAGTTTTTAACGTTAAAGATAAAATGCAATCATAGGCTAAGATGTTGATGACATGGACCATATGAAACAGAAAAATATTTAAAAAGCACCCCAAAACTATTATAAATTGAAAAATTCATAATCAATTGCTCTAAGTTTGGAGCCTCAACTTCTTATTTTTATACCCAATGAGAGGTGGGTTACAATTGAAATCAAAGTAAAGAACAGAACAATCTTTCTTTCATTTCAATATTCTTCCAAACTACACCACAATTCCTAAAGATAACTGGGAATTTCCTTAATTCCCTTCTCTACAACACCTAAGTATGCAGATTCCAATATTTTTGTTCTAAAGTGAATCAAAAGCTATCAACATGTAACAAATATTAAAATATTTACAGAAAGTTCCTTTGCAAAGTGTCTGATGAGAATCAAGAAGTCAGACCCTGAGCCATGTTTTTGGAGTCCAATTTGATACTTTGCCTTCCGGGAGCAAAGTCTTTCTAGCGATCCCAGGGCTTCCATGGATGTTGGCTCACCCGCTCTTCTTCTTTCTCCGATTGCTGCTTCGACTTCTTTGAATAGTTTTTAATTTCTTCTTGATGTTTCTGAACCAAAGACTTCAAACGCTTTCCCTTTATTGTATTCATCCACTAAGTCTGCGTTTGCGCTCATCCGTTTCTTTTGTCCTTCATTAATTTGAAGCAATTGCAGAAACTTCGTTGAATGCTTCTAAATAACCGCAAAAATTAGGCAGAACCAACATGTAAACAGAAACACAAGAAATCTAGTGACCAAATCATTCGTAACATCAAGAAATTCTTAATTCATCTTCGCTTTTTGGGCTTTGTTGTCGGAAGTACAAGTCCAGATACTCGTGTGATCACCTCGACCTTCTTTAGAGCTCTTACTAAACTTTGTTGATTGCACAGTCATACCAGGCATTTCGAATTTCCATGACAATAAATATCAAGCTAATAGAAAGAATGAAAAGTCATACTTTCCTCTCAGGAGGTAGTGTTGTCATCCATTCCTCCCGTCTGGGTGCTGTTGTAACTTAATTCCATCTCTGCCAGAAGCTAATCATCACCCTCCATTGACAAACCTGCCAATGCTACTTCTTTTACAAACAGATGAACAAGTGGTTTGAGCTAAAAAGAAAAAATCTAAACGCATATCAATCCACAAATTCTATTAATTAACGCCGTGAAGCAAATTATGGTATGTTTTGTAATCATCAAATGAAAATTACTTTAAACCATATTAAGAGAACTACACATACTTAATGGACCAAGCATATTATGTGATGCTTGTTTCGGTTCTATATTTTAGAACGCACTTCAGCTAGGAAGTTTGAGATCTGAGTCATATTATTAAATGTTTCAGTTAAATTTGGTTTCCCTAATGAGGTTTTCTTATTTTGTTCTGTTTAAGGCTCAGATACTGATTACTGATGATGAA